CAAAATTCCGAAAAAAATGTAACCAAAATATCGATATCACACTGACAAGTGTTGAGAGTCTGAAGTGAAACAGAACACGTTTCTGGCAGGAAATTAAGTAATGAAAAGATTAAAAATTTGCTGCAACACCGAAAAATGGCGTACATTCGAAATGATGGTTAGGGCACAAAAGAAACAGAAACCAGAGGACAATAAAAAAAAATTAAAAACACATGCCACCTCCCCCACACACAAAACCATGGCAAAAAAACACGAATAAAATGGTCTGCAACAATGTGCTAAGTTTTCTCCAACTTGTCGTGTTCCAGACCAATGCTTTAGACTTTTACACAATGCTGTCAGACAACAGAAAAGGCATTTGTGCAATGCAGGGGGCTGCTGGTCTTGTGTAGCGTGGCATGCTCGTACAATTAAAGGTCTGGAGTGTAGTCATTTTTATGCTCCCACTCAATTTAAAAGATACATTTGTAGACGAATACTTTGCAAAGTCCTCGCTGGAGCTTTAATCACTTCTTTACATCTGAAATGAATGAAAGAGGAGATTTGGGTATTTAACTATTGCAATTCTACAATCCAGTGGAGCAAACATTTTTTCAACCCAATTGTGAGATTAAGGGGTCAAATAAAAACATGTGAGAGTAATTATTTTTAAATCAAAGTCTCCTGGGTTTGACGTCTGGATTTACAGGTCGGTGATCAAATTCTTGGCTTGTGCCTCTGGAATGGCAAGTAATCTCACAGTTCCTGAGCGCTGCATTTTAACTATTTCAGAGCCGTGCCAGATGAATCGTGCAATAAAATATCTGTTTAAAGAAGGTATTCAGGCATACAAGGCGTTTGAATGGTGGATTGCCTCTATAAATACTTCTTAATGTCCATCATTAAAGGTGTTTTACCATTTACTCAGCTAAAACCAAACTTTCCCAACACCATCCCAATTACATTTCAACGTATCTATCGAAGAATTCATCAGTTTTGACACATTTTGAAATGTTTCTAATTTTAGGAGTTTGATTTGTCCTAGTCTGCCGTTTTCATTGGAATTTGTCCTAAACCGCAAAAGTCTCTGCGTGGGCCCCTTGACAGTATGCCCTTAACCCTTTCAGTGCAGTGTATTTCATTAAAGGGACACTATAGTCACCAGAACAACTACAGCTTATTAAATTTGCTCTGGTGAGTAGAATCATTACCTTCAGGCTTTTTGCTGTAAACACTGTCTTTTCAGAGAAAATGCAGTGTTTATATTACAGCCTAGTGATAACTTCACTGGCCACTCCTTAGATGGCTGTTAGAGATCCTTCCTGGGTCATGGCTGCCTAAAATGCATCCAAACATTCAGTGTCTCCTCCCTCTGCATGCAGACACTGAACTTTCCTTGTAGAGATTCATTGATTCAATGTATCTATATGTGGAGATACTGATTGGCCAGGGCTGTGTTTAAATCATGCTGGCTCTGCCCCTGGTCTGCCTCTTTGTCAGTCGCAGCCAATCCTATGGAGAAGCACTGTGATTGGATCAGGCTACCACTTCTGATGATGTCAGGACACTGCTTGTTTTTCTGAGTCTAACAGCATGCAGAGTTACAGCTTCAGGCTGGAATACAGTAAGATTTTTACTATATTTATGGAGGCATGAGGGGCCCAAGGGGGCTAGATGGTGGTTTTAACACTATAGGGTCAGGAATGCATGTTTGTGTTCCTGACCCTAAAGTGATCCTTTAATGCATCCCACTGGTACAATCAATGTGTGAAATATTCACTTATTGTTTATTGTTACACTAAAGGGACACTTTATAAGTACCATAACCACTTATTGTAGCTGTTACAGTGCAAAAAATCATTGGGAGCCATTTTGTCAAACCAGCTTCAAGTGATTTTTCTTCAAATTAAATCTTCATCCTGTTTTTTTTTTCTCAACACATATGGGCAGTTACAAAGATTTGTTGTTATTATTATTATTATTATTATTATTATTTGTTATGCGACAACATATTCCGCAGCGCTGTACAATAAGTGTAGTAACATACAGTAGTTGCAACAAAAAATGTAGGGCCGGCGCTACCTGTAAGGCGACCTAGGCGGCCACCTAGGGCGCATCTTAGCAGGGGACGCCGGCCCTGCTGTACCCGGAATCGGCAAGAGTCAGACCGGCGGCAATTGATGGGCGGGCGGCCGACTGGTGCGGCACTCCTCCTCATGCTGTGCCGCCTGAGCGCTACAGAAAGCCTCAGATGGCACAGCACTGCTCTATGGAGGGCGGCCGCAGAGAGAAGCGACCGCCCATGAGACCGCCCACCCCACGAGACCGCCCATCATGCAACAGTGAAGGTGGGTAGTCTCTCGGGGTCAGAACAGGTCATCACAGCACAGACACACACAGTCTACTTACCTTCTGCTGCTGGAGCCTGGAGGCGGAGTTTAAGTGCTCCGTGCGTTGGGCGGCCGGAAGTGACCTCTACCCAACCCCATCCTCCATTGAGCACAGAGAGGGGGGATTTTAAAGTGGAAGAAGGTGCCACTGCCATCTTCAAGTGCCTGCTGCTTGCAGTGGCTGTGGCCTCCTCCTGAATCTGGTTCCTGCTTGCCCAGCCTCCAGAACCTGTATTTGACCAGGAGCCAGACTGCAGCCAGAGACCATCATCATCTTGTCCTTATCTGGTGTGGTAAGTAGGAAATCCAATATTTTTATTATTTAGTAATATTATTACATAACTATTTTAATGTATAGTGGTTCTGGTGT